TTTAGTTCGATACACTTGGCTTAGCGATGCTCCAACTTCTTTAACCCGTCTGAAAAATACGTGAAAAAAACACGTGGTCTGAAAAGTAGACTTCTGTAGCAGCGATTACCTCCTCATTCGACTCAAATTTCTGCCCGGCGAGTGAGTTTTTCAAGTTGGGAAACAAAAAGAAGTCGCATGGGGCTAAATCTGGAGAATACGGTGGATTGGGCAGCAGTTCGTAGCCTAATTCGACCGATTTGGCCATGGCGACGCCGGAGGTGTGAGCCAGTGCGTTGTCATGGTGGAAGAGCACTTTTTTCTTCGCCAAATGGGGCCGTTTATTCTGCAATTCGACGTCGAATCGGCCCAATAATTCGGTATAGTACAGCCCTGTGACCGTTTTGCCCCTCTCCAGGTAGTCGATGTATATCACACCTTGTGAATACCAGAAAACGATGGCCATCACCTTTCCGGCCGATGGGGCAGTCTTCGCCTTCTTCGGAGCACTTTCGCCGGGTAAAGTCCACTGTTTCGACTGTTCCTTGGTTTCTGGTGTATACCAGTGGATCCATGTTTCGTCGACTGTCACGAAACGACGCAGAATCTTCTTCGGATTGCGCTTAAACAGCGTGAGACATTGCTCTGAAGTTGTCTCACGGTTGCGCTTGTTGTCCGGAGTGAGCAAACGCGGTACCCATCGCGCCAATAGCTTTCTCATGCCCAAAATTTCATGCAGGACATGACTCACGCGGTCTTTTGAGATGCCTATGATCTTAGCTATTTCGCGCACCTTCAATCGTTGATCTGCCAATACGAGATCGTGAATTTTTGTCACGTTATCCTCCGTGGTAGCTGTTTTCAGAGCACCTGGACGTGGCTCTTCAAAAATCGACGTGCGATCACGTTGAAACTCGTTAAACCAATTTTTGACGGTCGCTATCGAAGGAGAAGAGTCACTGTACACAGTATCCAAGCGATTTTTGATTTCGCTGCGCGATTTCCCTTCCAAAAACAAGAATCGAATCACCGACCGATACTGCTCTTTTTCCATTTTTCAAAAATCAACGGACACACTTGTTTCACACGCTCTCAAAAATAAACTACAACTCCGACCCGGCTGAAATCTTGACAGTAACCATCGAGAAGGTTGTACTACGTGATAGAATATTTCTTTTGCGAGAGTGGCGCCATCGGACGGTTAAGTACTTATCGGACCACCCTCGTAGTATACACTTTCTTCTCGTTCTAAATTAATTCTCGGTATGAGTTCTGATAAATCGACTCCTTGAAAAAAAATAAATCTCTATCTTCTTCTAAGAAATCTTCCTCAAAACAGTTTTCTAAAAAAATTGTAATGCGATCTTTAAGTTCCTCTAGTTCTTCAAGTTCCTCTAATCCTCCTGATTCTCACAGCAGCTCCCCGTCCAAAAAACTTAAAAAAACAAGACTCGACTGATGAACAACTCATAAATACTTCAACAAAAACTAACATCCTCAATCAAAACCAATTTAATCATATCGTAATAAACGATCGAGTTGATGTTCATCTATAAGTAATAAGCGACTCAAAATAATTGCATTAAATGAGTTTCTACATTTTAAAATGTGAATATTTTTATGAAGGATTAATATAATTGTTTACTTTTACAATAAAAAAAAGATATAAAAATCTTGTATTATTATTTTTTATTACAAAATATTAATTTCATTATTAATTATTAATTAAACAACATATGCATCATAAACTCGATTATTGTTTTGCGACAAACGAAACAAAAGTTGGACCTCATTGCTCACATGGAACATCTTGGGATATATTCACATGGTTGAAAAATCTTTCCAAGTTTCTCAGCGAAGCTTATCTTAAAAATTCGTTTTTTGCTAACTCTATCAATGTTTTCTGGTGACGATTATGCTGTGTTTAAATCTGTATTTATTGACTTACTAGTAGACTTATAAGAATCTGCATTCGGTCGGTACTGGAGCTCATATATATACCACAAACATCAAGACTTGGTGGATTTGGCAGAGGTACGGTTTTTGGATCAACTCTAAGCGGGATATTACCACAAGGCACCTTGCAAATGAATCGGCAACGATCATTACATCACTGGTGCTCCGTCTAAGGATCATCATCCTCTTTCCAACAACAAATCTTGAAGTTACACTTGGGGTATCGGATTTGTCAATTTCATTTACAAAGTATAATTCTGCAGTTGCTAAATCTTTAGGCTGCTCGTAAAAGTATGGCCAGTTCTCAAAGCTCTGCAGACTAACTTGTTCAAATAAAAAAAAATTGATCTTTCAGAAACTAATTATTGAAACTATATGAAAATAATTACCTGTATTCTGACATGTTGTTGCAATGTGAGCATTAATATTTCTCAATAAAAAAAAACATTTTGATGCGATTTACACTTGCAACTCCTTTCTTTTAGATTATATATTTAAACTTGTACCCCCTCCCCCGACCCTTTAGAATATGTATTTAAACGGGATTTTTTTTACAAATGTGATCATTTTCATTTCATCTGTCGGTATCTTTTAAAAGCTTATATTATGTTATCCAAAACACGCTCGGGACATTGATGATTCAAGCATTCCATTTGAAAGATTGCTAGCAAAATTCCTTATGGATATAGAAGAAATAAAAGCTAAACTCAAGCTCGAAAGTCCTGCGTGATTCGGCGGCCCACAACCGATACCTGTGTCCCTGTGTCGAACAGAGCACTATAAGGTTTACCGCCGATGAAGCATATGAGCAGTTGACGGATTTCACTACCATGTATACCATAGGATTCTCACCATTAGATGCAGCCAAACAACCAGTCGTGACCTCCACGACCACCGGCCCACCGGAACCGACAAAGTTTCCAGGTCTCTCGTCGCGTTCCTAACAACTGAGGTTTGGGCTACACCTCCTGGTAATTCAGAGAAATCCATGGTTCCAGTAAATTTCTCTTCGGACCCGTCCGGCGCCTCACACAATAGGGCAACCCGCTGTGACGAATCACTCGCGAGCCCTGCCTCACACGGCTGGCGCCTATGGTTCCCCTGTCCTCCGCACATTTTTTGGCGCTCCTCTCAAGACACTTCGTGAGCTCCTTCCTGCTCGCCGTCGCCACCGTCGCACCTCAAACACACAAACCAAGCAGTGAGAGTGTGCTCAACCTATGCACAGTCTTACCTTAGCGCGGCACACGTATTGGCAAGAGCTCGACGGAGAGCAACGACCGGGTCGTGGTTGTCCGTTACATATGCTATTTTAAACTCGGACTTAAAGAAAGTTTATGAAGAAGTTTATGAAGTGTGACAGGGTTATAGCGATGTTCGCTAGCCCTGTGTGCGGCACTCTCCTCGCGCGAGCGCAGCGACCGAGTATACGCTATATAGCGACTACATACTTGTGTAGTTGCAGGATCTGGAGAGAGGAGCGCGACGATCGCCTAGGTGTCGCCGTGAGGGCGAGTAAGAGCGAGAAGAGCGAGAGAGAGGGAGAGAGAGCGATTTTGACAGATTTTTGACGGCGAGAGAAGTGGGAGCGCGGCGGTGCGAGGCTTAGAAAATTAAGAGAGAGGAAGGGCAGTTAGGCGCGAGCTCTCGAGTAATTAGGACCGCCTGAGGAAAGACTGGAGGAGACAAGATTTTGGCAGGAAAGGAAATACTGCCATCAGTGTGACTGCCACGTTTGCCAGGAGAACAAAGTGTTCGAAGCTGAGCCAGTGCAAGCAGCGACCATTCGCCATCCACGAGGCAAAGGCCGTGCTGCGGCCCTTCCTGCAGCAACCTTAATCGTCGCCAGGGCACCGTTTCCTGCGGGTCTACGCTTTCGCTCTCTACCGACGGACCGTCGGCATTCGGTGGGTCTAAGGCCAGTTTGTCTCTCTCGCGCCAGCTCTCAGCTCTCGCTCGATTACAGACATTGGCGTATTCTGAGAAATTTATCGCGCACGCTGAGCGATATCGCTCGCGTGATCCCGCGAACTCTGGTCGCGGAAAGGCTGAGCGAGCGCGCTCACCGCGGTGAAGTAGACCTTGTAGCAATATTTGTGAAAAGCCGTCATTAAATGAGATCGCCATATGTAGTATAAGTGAATTAAAGTGTCCGATTATTTGTATCAACCTCCCGAACCAGAGCGAACTTCGGCCTGTGAAAGTCAGCGCCGGCTTTCTTTACCGAGAAAGAACCCAGAAAAATTAGCGGAGACCAGCCCAAGACGCACGGTGGCTGTCCCCTCTCGCAGAAGTATAAAAAAAAGAAGAAAAAGAACGGTGAAAGGTACTGTCTATCTGAAGGTAGATGAGTTTCATTTGTATCCAAATTCCAATAAAATATCGACCAATGAAATTAAAAATAAATAGCCATAAGAAAAGACAATAAAAAAAAACAAACAATTAGTCTCGCTGATAATAAAGGTTTATACAGAATAGCATTTTGTGAAATGAAAACCTGAATAACAACCTGAATAATGCTCTGTATAACAAATTATTGTGAATTAAAAAATAAAATATACTTACAGACTAGTAATGAATTAGAATGAATGTTAACTAAAAGAAATGGAATAAAAGTGCATTCACATAAATAGAAATGAAAATGATACTTATTACGCTCAAAATTATAGTTCCCTGAATAAGTAAAACAACATTGGAAAATAAAAGAGAGCGAGTGAAATGAAAAAACAGTACCATAGGCTAAGGCTTTTCATTCAGCTTAGAATATTTTATTTCTAGCATAGAGACGGAAGACTAAAATAATACCATATTTCGAAAGATACTCAGGACAGACAATATTAACGTAATAGAAATACGTTTGGGTACTTATTATCACACGGTTTACTTAGTTATTTATAAAGTAAAGAGGGGCTATTTGATGTAAATTTAATGTAGTACTTCACTTAGTCGCTTCTATTCCTTAAAAAATAAGGATGGTGTTAATTGTTTAAAAACAAAATTTTCCAACTGAATTATATTGTGACTTATCGATGTATAAAATAAAAACAAATATATGGTTTACTTACATTGATCCTAGCTCAATATCAGGTCCTCGAATCAAAAAAGGCACCCTGATATCAAATTCAAATGGAAAACTTTTTCCTTTAACAAGACCAAATTGACCCAAATGATATCCATGATCTGAAGTATAGATTATGTATGTATTTTCCAGTTCATTCAAAATCTGGAGTTCCTGACAAATCTAAAATTTATATGCAGTATATAATCAATTTGAGTTCTTATTTTAAACTATACAAATGAAAAATACTCACTTTTTCAACAGCCGCGTCAACGCTTTGAAGAGTTTGTAACCGTCTTGTCATAAGAAAATCAGTGAATTGCTTGTGAATTGGCTGCATTTTTTGCGTTACCTGAAGAATCCATTGTTTATCTAAATTCGGTGCATAATCATATACTGGTGTACTAAAATTTATTGAACATATATGAGATGATTCAGTTATTGTTTTAATTACACAAGCCGACAAGGAAAAAAACCCAGAAACCAGACAGTATGTTCCCAAAGATTTTTGGTGCGCTGAAACCGAATCTGACCTCAGAATTGCTCCATCACCCTAGGTTTTCGAGAAATCCTAACCTAAAAGTTGAAAAAACACGATTTTTCACTATATTTCGCGTAGTATTATGTCGTAAGCCAATTTTATTTTAAAAAACGAGTAATGCTATCTCAAAGTACTACTCTTACCCTTCAAAACCCTTTTTTCAGATTTAAAAAATCTTTATTTTCCATCGAGATATCGTAGATTGAATTTGAGTGATTTAGCGATTTCGTTACAGCACGAAATAGTGGCGAATTTCCGAATAAGGAGTTATAGTGTAATTATATGTTTTTTGGGTCACTGAATCCAAATATAACGTCAGACTGACTCTATAATCTCAATTCCCTTAACCCTAGAGCCCCATAACCTGCGACGCTGTAACCCCTGACCGACATACCCCAATTTCCTCAACCCTCGAGTCTTTAACCTGCGAAGCTATAACCCCCAACCCTCACACCCCAATTTCCTCAACCCTCGAGTTCTATTACCGCGACGCTATAACCCCCAACCCTCATACCAAAATTCGCTACGCAGAATACCTCAAGCCTCCAAATTATATTCAACCCCCGAGCCCTGCAAGTCTGCAACCTCAGACTCCTCTGCCAGAATTTCCTCAATCAGCACTTCAAGCTGCTATCGTATAACCGTATGTCTCTACATTTCAATCCCTTCAATATCCAAGCCTTGTATTCTACGCAGCTTTCAATTACGCGTTTTAAATCTCATTTATTCAGTTTGTGCGTATTGCATCTGAATATCTGCAACCCTACAGTTTTTCACTTCTTTTTTTTATGAAAACGCTGTTGTTTATCTTGAAATGAACGTTTAAGAGATTTGCGTCTATGATTATCTGTCAATGTATCGTGTCGGTGTAGAGCCCAGCAATAGTCAGCCATCATGCTCTCATTCAATCTACCTTGATAATGTTCCTCTTTGTTTCTGAAATCTTGATGAAATCTTTCACCCATTTCTTCACTGAACGCCCCAACATTGTCCGGAAAGTATTCCAAATGTGAAAACAAAAAGTGTATTTTCAGGCTCATCAAAAACCCTAATTTTAGAAAATTCTGTAGCATTGTCGACACAATAGTTTTGTATTTAGGGTCCCGGTGGTTTCCGAGAAAACTCTTGGTGACAGTTTTGAGACTTATCCAAGCATTTCTCTCATTAGTCGACATTCTCAAGAGGAATTCATCATCTTTCATAAGTGCTCGAATGTCTGGCCCTACAAATATGCCTTCCTTAATTTATGCTTCAGACAATTAAGGAAATTTGCCCTGAAGATACTTGTAACATTCACCTTCCTTATCTAGTGCCTTGACGAATCGCTTCATCAAGCCCAGTTTTATATGGAGTGGAGGTAACAAGATATGTTTAGTATCAACAAGGTTCTCATGGACGACATTGTGTGATCCAACAACCATTCCGATTCTTTTCCTTCCATTCTTTCCGAACCCAAAGTTCTTCTCGTGCACGACTGTCCCAGAGACACAAAAAACAGGGGTGCCTCATATTTCCAGATTGCAAGCCAACTAATATATTGATCATCTTGAAATCGCCACAAACGAGCCATTTGTATTCATTGTAATTGATTTTCTCAAGAAGGAATCGAAAGTTATCGTGAGACTCTTTTATCATAGTGGAATGAGCAATGGGAATAGCTGCATACTCATTCCCATTGTGCAGAAGTACTGCCTTGAGACTTTGTACAGATGCATCCATAAAGAGTCGCTAGTTCTCTGGATTATAACCTCCTTGAACTCCATATAAACTGATGAGATGCTTTGTATCGTTGCAGTAAACAAGGTTATCCACGCAAGTAAAATATGGCCGAAATTTAATATCTCTCTTCCTGTAAATAGAAACTTTTGTCTCAGGTCATAAAAGATTTCTTTCTTTTAGTCTTGAAGCTAAGAGTTCTGAAGAATTTTTAGGAAGATTCAAATCACGGATCAGATCATCCAAAGAATTTTGGTCGAAAAGTTTGGGCTTTTCTGAGTCAGAAAAATCTTCTTCATCACTACTGCTGCTTTTGTTTGTTACCGGAACTTCTATTGGTTGAAGTTTTTTTGGCTCAGAATCAGAATTTTTTTTTCTTTCTATTTTTCCATACTAAGCTGCTGTTACACTAGAAACGTTTGGATAAAGGAGAGAAGCTTTGTTATTATGATTAAAACCTAAAGTATCACATTTACAAAAGTAACAGTCATCATGGTGATTTTTAGGTTCACGTCATATTGTTGGTTGGAGAACAACTTCGGTTTTAGTTTTATTCCAGTTTTTCAAACTTCGGCGACAGTCTTCACAAATATATTTAGGAACCCATGGTTTGTCTAAATTCTTCATAGGTGTCTCGTAACATTCTTCAAACTAATCTTTAATGATATCAGTGATTGATCGACGAAGTCGAGCTACCTCAAATTTACCGCAGATATTACAAAAGGAATCGATTTTTCCTTTGCATGGAATTCTACATGCCGACATCTTCAATAACTTATAAGTTAATTGGAAATCACGAGTAATATGATAAACTTATTCTAATAACGAAATGGGTAAATATAATTAAATTTCTAGAAGACAAAGTTATAATAAAAATCAATGAAAGTACTGCACGCAGTGTTGTACGAGAAATAATACCAAGAATTCAATTCCAGTTACTCATCCGTTAGCCAGCCGCTCAAACACGATCCCTAACACGGATGAAGAACGAAGCACCAAAATTTGTAGTTTTTGAGCAATGTCATACACGGTTATCCTCAAGTAAGGAAATGTAGGCCCAAGTGAATCCGATATCTGCTAACGTAGATACTTTCTTCATCGTTAGTAGACCAGAAAATTTAAGATTAAAAATCCTAGCTGATCAATTTCGCAAGTTATAGACACTTGTATGTAAACGTAAATTGTACTTGTATATGTAAGTTGGATATGAATTTTCCTATCACAGACACAAATTCTTCTACCTTCTTTTACCGCAGAAATGACGTCTATCGTTGTTCCATTGACCCAACAGAATTCCCCATCCACCAAACCCGAATTTCTTTAACCCTCGATAGGGCCGGGGGTTATAGCTTCGCAGGTTAAAGGCTCGAGGGATAAGGAAATTGGGGTGTAAGGGTCGGGGATTATACCGCAGCAGGTTAAAGAGCTCGAGAGTTAAGGACTTTGGAGTATGTCGGTCAGGGGTTACAGCGTCGCAGGTTATGGGGCTCTAGGGTTAAGGGAATTGAGATTATAGAGTCATTCTGACGTTAAATTTGGATTCAGTGACCCAAAAAACATATAATTACACTATGACTCCTTATTCGGAAATTCGCCACTATTTCGTGCTGTAACGAAATCGCTAAATCACTCAAATTCAATCTATGATATCTCGATGGAAAAAAACGATTTTTTAAGGGTAAGAGTACTTTGAGATAGCATTACTCGTTTTCTAATATAAAATTGGCTTACGACGTAATACTACGCGAAATATAATGAAAAATCGTGTTTTTTGAACTTTTAGGTTAGGAATTCTCGAAAACCTAGGGTGATGGAGCAATTCTGAGGTCAGATTCGGTTTCAGCGCACCAAAAACGTTTGGGAACGTACTGTCTGGTTTCTGAGTTTTTCCATTTTTTAAATTTTGTCGGCCTGTGTTCTTATTCATAGCGAATTTATTTTTAGCATAGAAATATTTCATTAATAAATAAGATTTTATTAAAATTTCATTTTTGAAGAATGCTGTTAATTCATTGATAGCTAATTTTTTCTCAAAGATTCAATAATTTTGGATACATTTTCGTAATTTGTTTACAGCATGATTCTATTAAAAGATTTAATAAAATAATGTAGATTTTTTAATTAAAAACTCCTGGATTTACTTCCGATTATTTTTGCATGAATTAATCTACAAAATATCGACACTTTAATGTAAGTGAATGAGTGTTCTATTTATTCCATTTACTTTGGTTTTTAAATAAAACGACAGAAATATAGGAATTGTGTGTCTGCGTGTGTGTGTTAGAACGGTGGATGAGTAGAGTAATTTATTCATTGCCGTTACAAAAAGTAATCTCGTACCGCGGTGTAACGCTAACCGCGACCTAGATTGCTTTTTCTAGAATGCTATAGAAATGAATCTTTTCTGGCACAATAAAATGGATTTTATAAAGGCCAAAATATGTTACATTTTTAAAAGATATTTTCATACTAGTCAAAAAAAGTTATTAGGGATCACTGTTATTGGACGGGTCAATTTAGAGGGATGCCTACAATAGTTATAATTTACACTACAAGAACCCTTATTTTATACCTGTTATCTTTCATAATCTTACTGGCTATGACTCACATTTTATTGTTACTGAAATCGCTACTAACCTAGACATTGAAGGGAAAGTAAGTATTCTAGCTGAAATTAAGGAGCGATGTATATCATTCACAAAAGAATTTAAGGATAGTATTATTAGTTTTCGCTTTATTTATTCGTTTCGTTTTATACCATCGTTTCTAGAAAATACGAACACGTTAGATCGAATATCTCATGATCACGGTATCGGGAGCCCGGATTCAAATCTACAAAGACTTTGTTATTGAAGTGCGAACGGGACGGAGTACCCGAGAGCATGATTGCCGCCCGAGTCAAAGGCCGTTCGGCTGTTAAAAGGCCTTCGTACGGGACAAACTCGCCTCGCGCGAGTTGTTACCCATCAGACTATGAAATTTTTCAATATATGGTAACTCTGTCTTAGTTAGTCTATTTAAATTTTGGATGTATTCATATGGGAAAACTCTTTTTCTTTTAATTAAATTAATCTATTCTAAAGTGTAATTATCTTTCTGAAATTCTCTCTGTATAATTTCTAGCTGAGGTAAATTATATGCTAATTT